GTAAGGGAAGTATTTCAAGTCAAGTCAAATCGCATTTATTTATACAGCACATTTGAAAACGGCAGCTGTTACCAAAGTGCTCAACAATAAAATCAATGGTCTTAATTTAATGGAAAAATATTACCAAAAATTAACTAAACGTATCAAAAGAAAACTATAGAACAATAAAATACTATATCAAATCATTAAAGGTCAGTGAAAACAGGTAAGTGAAGTGAAATGTCTTAAGTTGGGGGGTCGATTGTTCCAGAGTTTGGGGCTTACAACTGAAAAAAACCCGATCTCCTCTGAGCTTCAGCCAAAATCAGCTGGTCAGATCTCAGCACCCAAGAAGGAACATATGGTTGAAGTAGGTCAGAGACTGGAGAAGGAAAATCTAAAGAAAAAGAGAAACCTTTCTGAATCTGACCTCTCCGGGGTACACTAGTTACTGGAATCTCAAACGTCTTCAAGTGAAACAAAATATGTGAAAATTAAACAGAATTTAGGAACGCTAAAACAATACGAGCAACGCGATTGACGCACGCAGTCAGTTGCTCATTGTTTCTGTAACATGTAATTCCAAAATGCATCATGCTATCTGCTTTGGAACATTTGTTTGGACCTAAGAAGCTAAAAATATAATTCCAGTTTGACATTCAAAAGGCACTTTGGCTGTCTGCTAGGTAATTTATCACGAATGCATTGCCATTTACTAGCCGTTCAGTAATGATTGCCGTTGGGATGATGAGTCACGTATGTTTTTCTTTTTTTCTTCTCCTGATACACATCAAGAATCAATCAACCTGGTGGCGAGGCTTCTTTAAAACTAAAGCTAGGGACGTGACATCAGTCATTTATTGTTCCCGATGAATGCGCAAATGTGCCAAGAGAGTATTTTATTATAGCATCATCGTCTAAAAAGACATCAAACCTAGAGTTATGTTTCACTCAATCCCAATGTTTGATTACAACCATTTGCCTGTGCACCCTCTCTCAGCTGGGTTTAGGAAAAATTACTGGCTTTTACTGGAGATCAGGCTCCTGGTTTGATATTTGACCTACTTCAGGTGAGCCGGCTGACATGGAAGAGTGGAGTAAAAATGTTTGCATTTTCCTTTTAAATGTGTCCATGTACACATATGTATTCAATCCTGCTTTTCTCTTTAAAAGATTAATATTTATTGTGAATAATCTTAAAGATTGAGAGATTCTAAATAGATATAAATGTTGGTAAAAGACATAGAGGTTTAACTCACATTCATGTCAACCATCAACTTATATGAATTGTGCCATCTTAACACTTTGTTCTTCTCTTAACAAAAATGCTGTGGCATTAAAAAAAAAACAAGAACAATAATATTTCTTTCACCTCGTGAGCAGCTCATCTACTCAGATTAACTATGACTGGAGCTGCAGAGAGGACGGCCGTCACCGTTTCTTTTATTGACACTGAAAGCTTTTATGTAGAAGCCCAAACTGTTTTTGACAGACTGCGTCATTCCTCGGAGCTCTTTCTTCTTTGAAAAAGAAAAAACAACTTTGAACATTTAGACACGCGACAGAGAGGAGACATGAAATAATGAGAACGGGAAGCGGATGCCAAGATGTCTACTGTATGTAAATGCTCAATGTTACGTAACAGAGAGACCGTTTTCACTCACAGCTCCAGGATCCTGGATGACATTCAGAGAGTTCAGAATCGTGCACGAGCTGCAGTGGTCATTGCCAGAGCAAGAAATGTGTGTCAGGGAAAGGAGTGACTCACAACATATCAGATTCACACTTCTTTCAGATTTATTACAAAGTTTTGGAGAACAGCCAGCATTCACTGAAGATCAATGCATTTACAAGGTCACGCTTTTCAATGTCTTCACCTGTCTGAAGCGCTGACCGCTCTGACTTCCTGAACTGGAAAAGTTCATTTTATGGGCTCACTCCCGAGCCAGCCCTCAGCCCCTCACTCCCTGTCTGGTTGTCGTCAATAATCCAGCTGCAGACAGGAGAGAAGGGAATCTGAGTGAAGGACTCCCCAAGACACGTCACTGCGTCACTTGATTTTGTATCATATCATTCCGTCAAACCTTTAGGACAATAAAAGTACAGAAGTCCCTTGATTAACGCGGGGGTTGCGTTCCAGACACCACCGTGATAGATGAAAAACCGCCAAGTAAGAACGCTATATTTGTTTTAGTATTTATATATGCTGTAATGCTTCACTGCTCCTCCTGGGCGTATTTGAGGTGAGATGGGTTAAATGCAGAGAACCGATTTCACCATTGTAAGGGAACATGCAATGATGACACATAGAACGTTATGTTATTTACTTTATAAGTCTTTCCCACGCTCTTGCAATGTTCTTAACAATGTTCTAAACTCTTAAACCTACATCATTTTAACAACATACACACTGTATTTTCCTAATTATATGTGACTTTGGAGTATAGGTATCAGTCAAAAAATGCCTCATGAAGAGGAAAAAAATATAAGTCACTTGGGCGTATAAGGTGCATTTATTTAGAATTGTATTTCACAAAGTGCAAGAACAGACATTTAATCTGAAATAACAACGGGGCAGACTGTCCATGGGAGCACTGGGACATTTCCCGGTGGCCTGGCCCGCTCAGTGGTCGCCGAGAGACTGGACTAAAGGCTCGGTTCGGGTCGCGCTTTATTATTTTAAATAAACAAGCCGCTCTTGTCCTGTCTCACTCAGTGTCTCACTTAAGCTTCACTGTAGCGATGGGGAAAGACAGACACCTCCCCCGCCCCTCCTTTATTTTTCTGAGTCTGTCATTCACAGCAGAGACACACAGGTTATGCGCCTGCCCCCATGGACTAGCATTCACATGTTTGTGTGCGGCGTGTGCACACCGAACATACCTGGGATCCTGGACAGGATTAATTAACATAACAAGTCAATGAGTCAGACAAGCAAGTTACCATCCTCTGTGTCACTTCTGAACAACTCCACCAACTCTGGAGGAGGGGGGGTGGGGGGTGTTTAGCAGAAGAGGAACAACGTATCGGTGTCAAAAGCCTATAAGGCCTTCTAGCAGCTACAAATGGTCATGTTTACTCTTTGGTTCATGTCAGTCAAAGATTGCATCATGAACAAGGAAAAATAAGTCGCTTCGGACTATGCGCCACAGGACACACCAAACTATGTAAAAAAAAGTGACTTAGTCCATAAAATATGGTATATGTACTGTACAGTACTGCAAACTTTTATATGGGTACTCACCAGCTCTGCAGAACAGAAGCTTGATTCCAGTTGGGCTAGGTTCTGGTTTGGCAGACCCACTCTGCAGCGACAAAGTCTACCACCCTGTCCAGTTTAATGTGTGCGTGGATAATTGAGCTTAGTGAAGCTTCAGGATTATTTGCAACTTTCCTTCCAGTTCTGAGAGCTTAACATATATTCAGCTTATTTTCAGTTTGTTTATATAGGGCTAAATCACAACAGAAATTGTCTCAGGGCACAAACAAAAAAAGATTGTTACTTCTGACTTTGCATTGCAAAACTTTCCCTCCATTTTGGCAGAAATCAGCACCCAGAAGCACAGTTAGCTTCTGGTCTGTGTAGTTCTTTTGACGTGCATTACAGTATAGGCTTATTGGAAGAAAACTACAAAATGGTGGCACCTGTCCGAATTTTTGTTTTTGTTCACTTTTTATCCTGTACCGTCCCAATAACATGAGTTATACTAAAGTTGTGTGTCGTGTATAATCTTACAATTAAGAACTGCAAAAGAGCGAGTCCACAAATGTCGAACCGCAAAGTAACGAGGGACTACTGTAGTTCGTTCTGTTCCTCACCGAATGGTCACAGTAATAGTGATTATTACATAGAACAGTCCATTATTCATAATCACAGTCAAAAAGAAGAACAGATTGTAAAGTCTAAAATCTGTATTGATTAAGTAAAACAGATGATGCACGATGAATGCATGAACAGACACTGCCTCGACATTCCTCCCTCGCGATTCTGCATTAATCGAACCCAAGGAATGTGTGTGAACGCATGCAATGCCCATCAAACAACAAAACCAAGAAATGCAAAAAACCAAACCAAAAAACAAACAAATTATTCAATTCAGTTCAATTCAGTTCATTTCTATAGTGCCAAGTCACAACATACGTCATCTCAGAAACATTCATATACATAAAAAGTAAATTAATAACATTATTTATCTGAGGATCAGACTGCTTTGAGTTTAATTTCATCGCAGACTCTCATCTTGAGTGGAAAGAAAAATCTCTGCAAAATGTATTTCTAAGATGCTCAGGTCCATAAACCAAAACCTCAGTCTTGTCTGAGTTTAAAAGCCGAAAATTAAGGGTCATCCAGGTTTTTATGTCTTTAAGACATACTTGTAGTCTAAGTAACTGATTGGATTAATTGGATTTCATGGACAATTATAACTGTGTATCATCAGCATAACAATGCAAATGTAACACATGCTATTTACTTTACCTAATGGAAGCATATATAAGGTAAAGAGTATTGGTGCGAGCATTGAACCCTGAGGAATTCCATGACTAACTTTAGTGTATGAAGAAGATTCATTATTTACATATATGAATTGGAATCTATCAGATAGATATGACTTAAACCCATTTAGAGCCTTTCCTAAAATCCCAATATCATATTCAAGTCTCTGTAGTGTCATCAACTGTATCAAATGCAGCACTGATGCTGAATATAATAATTATATGGTAATATTATAAAATCAGCACATAATGGTGAGGATCATGCAACAATTACGAAACACATAAAAAATAGTAACATTTTATTACATGTGCCATAGATGTAGAGATCACATTTATTTTACCTAAATATGCACGTGGCTTCATGAGAATCTTCCATTTTCCTTCAGGAGAGCGGTTCAATCTACCTCCAGTTCACCTGCTCCACAATGCTTCAGCTTGAGGTGATTTTCGAAGTGCTAGAAGAATATGACTGGACAGCGTTTTCCGTCGTGACCACCCGTCACCACGGCTACGAGGACTTCCTCGCCATGGTGGAGGGCATGACGGATGGCTCGTTCATTGGCTGGGAGAAGAAGAGCGTCGTGGTTCTTAACGTGACTGACGACCCTGGTGGGGCACGAACCAAACGGCTGCTCAAAGACAACGAAGCTCAGGTGAGGAGTTGGAAATACGAACGTCAGTTTTGATCACTCTGTAATCCGTTGCTGCTTCCGGCTGTGCACACAAGCTAAGGGGTAGAATGATTCATCCAAGGTCAAGTCAGCTGCAGAAATGACTGTCTTTGCAACACCTGCCCGTTATGTCAATCAGGTTGCATTATATTATCCTGCAGTGAAATAAACCAAATAAATACACTGGTTTAAGGCTGGAAGCTCCTAAGGAGAAAGGGCAAATATTTTAAGCAGGTATGGAGGGAACGCAAACCAATGTTTTTTTCTTTTTTTTTAATCAGTGTTAAATATGTAAAATGAAAGTCAAGAAGAAAGACAAAATCAAAACTAACTGGCTTGATCATTTTCACCCTTCAGAACGGCATGGATTTATTTAGCTACATCCACAGTTTTTCAAGAAAATCAAAACAAATATTGTTCCGAACATCTTGGATAACAAACCAAAAATCTTCTGTGGTTGTAGCCCTGTTTTTTCAGATAAATTCAGTGTTCAGATCACAGCTCTTTGCAGTCAGACCATCATTTCAAGAACTTTATTGTGTTGAAAATAAGTATGATTTTAGCTGTTTGGCCCTCATGGTAATTTATAATGAATACATTCAGTATCTAGTATTTGTACTGAGAACACTATTAATCCTGACCAAATATAATTTGGCGGTATAGTAGAAACTCATAGGGAGCCTTCTTCTTGCTTTAATGTAGTCTGTAAGCTCTCGTCATTATTCTGCTCTCCAGCTTTTTTGCTGAACAAACTGAACCATTTCACAACAAAAGTATTTCTACCCATCAGTCCAGAACGCCTGCTGCCATTTTAATAAACACCTGTTCTGTGTCTATAGTTAAGTTGCTTGTCTTTGTTTTTATGTTGAAAGTTTGTCTCTTTGGCAGCAAATCTTTAATTAAATCATCTTCTAGAAAAAGGAGAAGAAAAGAAAACTTCTCTGGACAATGGATAATTGTACCTGGACCCTTCGGGTTACCTCCAGTTCTGAACAGGTGACACTGACGACACCAATTCTCAAAGGAAGATGACATTATGGTTAACATACCTATTGTTTTTGTTGTGCCTCTGAAATTCTTAATATTTCAGGGGCTAGATTATAAAGTATATTTACTTTACCATTGAATTATGTCGCTAGCTGTGGGCCTCAGGCCTCATCTCGGACCCCAGGCCCACCTCCAGCTCATGAGGCTCCCCACTCGGACTCCCTCAGAAATAGTAACTCACACTATCTCTATAAATCAAGGAAACGTGAATTCAGTTTACCATTTGTATTAAATCAAGGCAGGAAAAGATTACAGTTTACAGCGCTGGCCTCTCTGATACAATTCGACGCGAGATCATGGACCGGAAGTTGCCTTCCAACTATAGTGGGCCTAGGCTCCGCCTTCTTCTGGGAGCGCAGCCTTATCAAGTGGATGGGAGGACTAAGTGTGATCTCATCAGATCTTATGTGGTCTGACGTGTCAGGAAAAATGATACGGTGTAGAAAAAGCCTCTCTGCGTGATGTGGCGAGCCAATAAAGAAATAACAAATTAATAAAAATGTTTTTCTTTGACGGATATTGAATCCCTGGGAGATAATTTTTTAGAGTTGCTGGCCCTGTTCAAACTACAGAACTGGGTTATAATCGTATTACAATCTGTCTCTGAGCAGATCAAAAACCCAGGGTCAGTCTAGAAAGAATATTTCTAACAATTAATGTAATTAACTTCCTGTGCTCGTTTCCCCTCATGCACTGCAACACAAACGCACTTTTGTTTCTCTGGATTTCAGCCGGTTATTTAAATGTGTTGGGGCAACATCTCTGTGCTTTCAGCAAGTTTTGCCTTTAAATAATTTAGTTAATCATTTAACTAATCAGGTCTCTCTTGTAAATGAGTCCTCGAGGCTCAGTGGGATTTACCTGTCTAAATAAAGGTTGAATGAAAAAAACTAATAATAAATACTAATTTAATGCTCATTTTAAACAAGGCACTCCTTAGTACTGAAAACAACTGTGGGTGGCTCTGTGAGTGAATCTGTTTTCATTTTGTGAGTGAACTAATCGCACAAAGAGTGTGGGAAAATGAGGGTGGAGGCAGGTGTGGATGTTTCACCTTTACCAGCCTTCGTTTTGATGTTGTCGGTCTGGGGAGTTGAACCAGCAACCTTCCGATCACAGGCCCTAACTCTGAAGATTTAGTAGTGAATCCAGAAAATTTACAAGTGACGTAAGTGAGCAATAAATACAACGTACAGCCATTTCTGTTAAGAATCTTATTTGCGATTGCGTATTTGTTAGTTTTTTTTTTTTTCCAATTGTTGCTCACTTTGTTCACGGTCATGTTTGTGTATTTTAATCATTTCTTACCTTTTTATTTATTTATTTTTCTGACAGCATAATGATAATCACACATTCATTATCTAGGGCTTTAAATCTCATCTAACAACTGCCTTTTGTGTTTGCCATATCTTCTTTTGTATGTAAAAATACATTTTTAAAATCCTTCGCTTTCACCTGAAGGTCACTTTGAGCATTCTGATTAGCGACCCCAAAGGTTCAGCCTAAACGAACTTCTAAATTGTGCACCGTGTAAAAATGTCCACTTTCTTAACTTTGACAGGACAGAAAGAGTTTCCAGAAACTGCTAAATCGAGACTGTGACAGGTGATTGGAAAAGTAAAAGGAACATCTTATGAACTTACCCTTATATTGTTTCATACTTACTTCCTATTCCATCAATTTGTGCACAAGTTAAGATCATTTAAATGTGTTCTTTATATGATGCTAATGTCATTCATGTTCAGTTTTTGCACCAACAGTTTGTCTGCTATCACTGAATTTAGCCTTTATCATATGTAGAGGGGAAAACAAAGCAAAAAAGGACAAAGGTTCAGATAAGACATGTTGTCCATGAATAAAATGCACTTTATCGTTGTCTAAATGTCTGATGAAAACATCTTTGTATATACGCCTAAAATAATTTTATTGTGTCAGTACATGTGTAATCTGCTGGCTACCCCACCCTACCTCCGATAAATAGTGTTACTAATTGAATTTTCATGTATATGAATGTTTCTGTTCAGTGCCCTGTAATGACTTCTGTTGTAAATTTACACTGTAAAAATAAACTGAATTGAATTGACAGCTAAAGACAGAGAGGAGTAGCAGTTGGTTTTCCGATTAAAAATACGCTGCAACTGCTGAACTATTGTTAAAATGTTCCCCACTCAGTTCCTCTTTTCCACTCCAACAACTAAATAAAATTGGCTTTGATGGATGGGTCCACATTGGATCCTCTCCCAGTTCCCACCCCCTTTTATTTGAATTTATTCTGAAATACTGATCTTTAGGTATTGTGTTTTCCAGCTCTCTGTGTCAGCATGTTCTATATACATCCGGTCCTTTTAATAATAATAATAATAATAAATGGATGAAAAAACTAACATACAAAACAAAACCTTAATTTGTTGTAACTTGTTTGAGACATGAAGCCTGTTGATAGATCGTATGATACTGGTGCATTTGTGTTTCGCACGGTAGGTTCTAATCTTTATCCCTTTATGACTTTTTTTTTCTTTCTCCAAGGTACATGGGATTAGTATGATCTAATGTTAAATTAGTGGTTCCCAGCCCTGGTCCCTGAGGAACACCATCCTGAATGTTTCTGTTGTTTCTCTGCTCCAACACGCCTGATTCAGTGATTTAATACTTGGTTAATCACTCATTCGTTCAAATCTGGCGCCTCAGAGCAGGAAAACAAGTAAACATGCAGGGCGGTGTTCCTCAAGGACCACAGTTGGGAACCACTGAGTTAAATAGCAACACTGCCATAGTACGGGGAGTCATCTTGGAAAAAATAAAAATAAAAAATGACGTCCTCATATGAGGATAGTATAAGTTTATAATTTTTGCTTTTTAAATTTTTCTTTGCAAATTGGGGTCAGAACATCCGAATAACTCTAAAAACGAAATGTTAGCTTTCTATGATGAGCAGTTTAAAAAAAATAAATAAATAAATCAATGTCCTCATATGACGACACAGGTTCCCTGTATAAATTGTTTAATTTAATTTCTAATTTAGAGCTTGCGGCATGTATCTAATTAAAGAAAATAATCAATGGATAAAGTGAACAGTAAATCAGCTGCAAAGTAACGATGAGTCAAAAGAGACGACTAAATTTAAACTAAAAATCTTCTAACCTGGTTTCAGATTTCATCCATTTGGCTTCTAAGGTTTTCAGTTTTTCTACCAAGAGATTTTACTGAATTCATGTTGTATTCCTTTGTGTGTGTGTTTTTTTTTTTTCCAGTCTTTGTTTGGTGAAGCTACACACCAACTTCTGCACAAAACCTCTCCGTTCTTTGATAATTTGGCTGCTGTGTGATTGTGCAGATTTAGTGCTGAATGGGGATGATGTAAAGCTCTGCGCTGAAAATGGATCGATCTGCCTCGTGCTCAAGCCCGTGCTCACTCACTGCTGGAATTATTGATTTATTTCAGTTCATTTGTCAATAATTCAGAAAAAAAAAAAGAGTTGCTTTTTGCTTGCTGTTTGCCTTAAGTCCAATTCTCTCATTCCTTTTCATCTCTGTTTTTCATCCGGCTGCTTTTTTTCTACACGTTAAACTATTTTATATAGCAATCCAAACAATTTTCAATGCACTCCTCAAATTAAAACCAGCATCCACCGCCATCCACCAACAACACCACCAGCCTGATCAAGAAAGCTCATCAGAGACTCTACT